CTTGTCTCAAAAACGTTATATATAACATGAGGCCCAGGTGTGGTGGTGCACACCTTTAAGCCTAGCACTCAGGAGGCAGAGGCAGGCAATCTCTGTGAGTTAGAGGCCAGCCTCGTCTACATAGTGAGTTCAACGCCAGCTGGAGCTACAAGGGAGACACTGTCTCAAAAAGACCACACACACACACACACACACACACACACACACACACACAAAACAAGAAACAAAAGTAAAAACCTTTGTGTAGATTGGAGAATTTGGGAAGAGAGTGAATGCTAAGTAAACATTACAGCAATAGTGATAAATTTCACAGTATTGTTGAAGTTTGGTAGTAGTTTTGTCAGTAAATAATACTCAAAGATTATATAGTACACATATAGAATTGTGAATTTAAGTTCTAAAATACAATTACTTTATTTTTATTTATTTATTTTTATTTTTTTAGGGAGGTTTTTTAAAAATATTTTTTATTTTCATTTTATGTGTATTTGTGTATTGCCTGCATGTATATGAGACTATGTAGACAAGACTGGCCTTGAACTCACAGAGGTCTGCCTGCCTCTGCCTCCGAAGTGCTGGGATTAAAGGCGTGCGCCACCATGCCTGGCTTTTTTTTTTATATTTTTAAGACAGGGTCTACATCGTGAGTTTCAGGCCAGCTGGGGCTATACAGAGACCTGTCTCAAAAAGACAAAAAAAATTATGCTGGTTTAGTTATTAAAGTACTTTTAACTTCCCATACTGAAATTTTTATCTCTAGAAGTTCAATTAGGTGATTTACATTTTCGGTAGGGCACAGGTTAAGGTACACTGGGTCTGTAGAAGAGCAACAGAAAAATGATTGGAAAACCTCCTGGTGTCTGGGAATGGGAGAGATCCAAAATTAAGGTCTGGATGCCCAGGACCATGTATGGAGTCAAGACCCTAGCTGGCTCTCAAGGGAGGTGGGAAGTTCCATTCTAGAAAATCAGTCCCCTCAAGACTAGATACTGCAAATGACAGAGACCTCCTCTGTCCCCAGCAGAAGCATAACACAGAGGCAAAGCCACTACCAGTCACAGCCTGGGACCTGGGGGAGGGGAGGTTGTGGGGAATTCAACCACTCAGGGAAGGCTGAAACTGTTGCCCAACATCCGCAAGTCCTCCATTCTCCAATCTACCCCTCTATCAGCCCAACACCAGAGGAATGTGGAACTATGGCTCATGGTTGGGGACCAAAGTTCCAGGTTCATGTGAAGGGACCATAACTCCAGCTCACAAGAGGGGACCACAACTCTGGCTTGTGGGAGGCAATCACAACTTCAGCCCTCAGGAGAGAACCACAGCTCCAGGCTCTTAGGAGATAATCACAGCTCCAGCACCGGGGTGGCGGGGGAGACACAACACAGTTCCTGGTTCACTGGAAGGATCATAATCACACTTGTTCCTACTATTTTCCTGTCTCTACCGCTCTGTCCACAGGATTATAGCTGTATTTAAGAAAGAGCATTTTGAATTCTGTGCAATACATAAATGTCAACCATAAGAGAAAGGGAAAGAGCAGCCATTATTTATATAGTAGTTGGATGTTATGATAAAATAGCCCATTATAGAAAGGTGTCATGAAAGCCAGGATGAACAGAATTATACACAGGTTCATTTTGCAGTGAAAGTGATGGGAATTCACAGTCCTTAAACAACTGGTCCACCCAAATCCAAAAAACACTATCTGTGTGGTGATCAGGATGCTGGAGTTGATCAGGAAGCTCATGGAGAAGTGTCAGGAGGGCCTGTGCCCTGTTGTCCAGTCCAGAATAGCTGCATTCTAGGGCCACTGGCCTACTGTCACAGGTGGCCACTTCTGAGCCTGTGTGTGATTTAAAAAAAATATTATTTATTTATTTTTGGTCTTTTTGAGTCAGGGTCTCCTTGTATCCCCAGCTGGCCTGGAACTCACTATGTAGACCAGGCTGGACTTGAACTCACAGAGATCAGCCTGCCTCTGCTTCCCAAGTGCTGGGATTAAATGCATGCACTGCCACGCCTGGCTCAAAAAGATTCTTTTTTTTTTTTGGTCTTTTTGAGACAGGGTCTCCCTGTAGCTCCAGCTGCCTGGAACTCACTCTATAGACCAAGCTGGCCTTGAACTCACAGAGGATCTGCCTGCCTCTGCCTCCTGAGTGCTGGGATTAAAGGTGTGCAACACCAAGCCCCGACAAAAAGATTCTTTTTAAAGATGCTTTTCCAATAGATGCTGGGGATTGACTTCTCTCAAATTGATGATGTCCACTGATTGGCAGGCGGAACAGGATTGTGTGTATGACTGAGGACATCCAAAAATTCTTTTTCTTTTTTTTTTTTTTTGAGACAGGGTCTCACTGTAGCCCAGCTGTCCTAGACTCACTATGTAGACCAGGCTGGCCTTGAACACACAGAGATCTGCCAGCCTCTACCTCCCAAGTGTTGGGACCAAAGGCGTGCACCACTATGCCCAGGAAAAATTCCCTTTTTCCAGAAGACTTTTCCAGGCATCTATCCATGAGTGCCCTGGCATGAGCTATCAAGGAAAACCTTGTACTTGTTGTCATTAGAGTCTCTTCCTCACATGAGACAACATCACACGCTGATACCAAGCCAACATTGCAATTAACGGAACAAAAACCTGACTCTTAAATTTAGTTTTTAAGAGTGGGCCCGCCTAGACTGAGAATTATTGGAGGCTGATTGCTACTGGGTGAGGGAGAGTATGCCTTACATACTATTTCTAGATGGGCTCTCTAGACTCCAGTGGACAAATTTTGCCCTGAAGGACATCAGGGTATAAATGCTTGACTGGATAGTACTTAACATGTATGGCAGAATACATGCTGTCTGGTGGGGATAAGGCGGCATGGATGGGTGAGGGAGTCTAAATTTGATTTGTAATGAAGTTATTTTATTTTATAGGTATGTGTGTCTTTCCTGTATGTATGTAAGTGCACCTGTGTGCAGTGCCTACGGAGGACAGAAGAGGGCTTTGGATCCCCTGGAACTAGAGTTATGGACAGTTGTTAGCTGCCATGTGGGTGCTGTGATTTGAACCCAGGTCTTCTGAAAGAGCAGCCAGTGTTCTTAACCATTGGGTCATCTCTCCAACCCTCCCCCTGCCTTTTGTTTTGTTTTGTTTTTTTAGGCAGGGTCTCACTCTGTTGCCTAGGCTGGCCTCAAACTCTTGGGCAATCCTGTCTCAGTCTCTTGAGTGCTAAGATTATAGGCCTGTACCACAATGCTCAGAAAGGTGAATACTTCTTTTAAAAATATGGGGGGCTAGGGGCTGGAGAGATGGCTTAGCAGAGAGCACTGACTGCACTTGCAGAGGACCCCGGTTCAATTCCCAGCACCTACATGGCAGCTATGAACCATCTTTAACTCCAGTTCCAGGGGACACTGAATCCCTCTTCTGACCTCCATGGCATTGCACAACATGGGTGTACTCACATACATGCAGGCAATACACTCATACACAAAATAAAAATAATAAATAAAATATTAACAAAAACAATTCGGCCGAAGAGATGGCTCATAGGTTAAAAGTACTTGCCACTCTTGCAGAAGACTTGGGTTCTGCTCCCAGCAACCACACCAGGAGCCTCACAACTGCCTCTGTAACTCCAGTTCCAGGGGTTTTGATACGAGACTGGACTACATGAAACCTTATTTCAAAGTAAATAAAAATAGCAGAGCATGATGTCACACACCTGTAACCCCAGCATCAAGGAGACAGAGACAGGTAGATCTCTGAGATCGAGGCTAGCCTGTTCTACATAGAGAGTTTCGGGCTGGCTGGTGCTATAGGGAGACTCTGTTTCAAAAAACAGCAAAATAAAAACCGAAACCCAAAAACCTAGGGGCTGGGGAGGCAGCTCAGTACGAAAAGCACTCCCCATAAAAGTGTGAGTAGGATGTGAGTCAAGATCTACAGAAACCATGATAATCATGACTAGTGGTGTCAACTTGACAGAATCCAGAATCACGTGGGAGATGGGCTTCTGAGCATGACCGTGAGGGATTGTCTTGATTCTTTGATTGAGATGCTGACTCCCCACTGGAGGTGGCACCAGTCCCTGCCTGGATCACTGGACTGTGTAAGTGGAGAAAGGGTTCCCAGCCAGGATTCATTCATTCCTGCCTGCTTCCTGCCTGTGGATGAGACATGATCTCCACCTGCACTCCTGCTACTTTGACTTCTCCCTGATGGACTGTATCCTGGAACTACAAAGCAGAAGAAACCATTAGGTTGCTTTTGCCAGAGTATTTTATCATGACAGTAAAAGAAACTAAGTCACAAGTAAAGCTGATGCAGTATCTTGTTTACAGTCTCTCATAGAGATGGGAGGTCAAGACAGGAGAGGCCCAGGGAGTCAAGCCAGCTAGCCAGGTATAAAGCAGGGGGAGGAAGAGACCCTGTCTCAGGCTGCACCCACCTCGGAGGTAGTCCACTGTGTGCTTTTACACACACACACACACACACACACACACACAGAGCAAACAAGCCATGTTTATGTACCTATAATCTATAATCAGCACCTTTAAGGCAGAGGCTGAAAGATCACCCACCAGTTTCAGGTTAGCCTGATCTACATGGTGAATTCCAGGCCAGCCAAGGGTAAAATAAAGAGCGTGACCCCCATCTCAAAACAAACCAAAGCCAGCAAACAAATACCTAATCAAGATATGTGCTAAGGGATTATTTATGATAATTTCTGAGTTCCACCCCCAGCACCGCCCCCCCCCCAAAAAAACCCAAACCAAAAAAAACCCATAAAAAACTTTAAACCTTCAGCATGCACTACCATGAAGATTTTGTTTGGATGGTTGGTTTTCAGCATGGATCTCGGAAAAGGTTAAACAAACATGAGCCTAGTGCGGGCAGCCCTAAAGTGAGCTCCTCAACCCTTCTTTCTTCCTCATTGGGGGTGCATGCTGATGGACAGGGGAGGGCATCGGGGTGACCGGAGGGATCTAGCGGCTACGTAGCTGCTGTTCCAGGCCAGAGGCGGTGACTCCAGATCAGCCGGAGGGCGGCTCGATCAGCGCGGGGACAGAGGGACACCGGGCAGGTGGCTGGGCGCCTGGGGAGAGGAAAAGAGGGGCGTGGCAGGAAGCGCGAGGGCGGAGCCTGCTGGGCGGTGGCGGCCGCGGCGGGAGCGGCCCGGGAGGTCGGCATGGCCGGCGTGGGCCTCGGCGCCGCCGTCCCGGTGTGGCTGTGCGAGGAGGACCTGGCTTGCGTCATCTGTCAAGGGCTCCTGGACTGGCCGGCCACGCTGCCCTGCGGTCACAGCTTCTGCCGAGAGTGCCTGGCCAGCCTGTGGGGAGCGCAGTTCAAGGGCGTGGCAGGCCGGGCCTGGGCCTGCCCCACCTGCCGGGAGGGCCCGGAGACGCAGCCCGCCCTGCGCAAGAACACCCTGCTGCAAGACCTGGCTGACAAGTTCAGACGCGCCGCGCAGGAGCCCGAGGCGGGCCTCGAACCCGCACCCTCGACGTCGCCGCGCCGCATCGCGCAGCCGGTAGGGAGGCCCCGGCCTTGCGCTCGCTGTGCTCTGGCGGTGCGCGCGCATCCCCTGGGCCCCTCCCGCTTCGCCATCCGTTCTTCCCGGACTTTCTTAATCACAGATCTAACCTGTTTTGGGGGGACTCTTTGCCAGTTTCAGAAGAGCGTAAAGAAGTAGAAAAGCCCAGCGTGGTGGCTGCACATCAGTAAACTCAGGACGTGGGAGGCTGAGGCGGGAAGATCAGCCTGTGTGTAGGACGCAGGCAGGGGCTGCATAATTAAGAAACCCTGTCTCAAACAAGCAAACACGTTAAAAGTCAAAACCCCATTCAACCTTGGTGTGGTGCACCTTTGTGTATTTCTACTTTTATCTATCTAGTCTTTCAGTGATGTCTGAAAATTTTTAGTGTGTAAAATATATACACGTTAACATTTTAAAATTCAACTTACTGTTTATTATTTCAGGATCTAGCTATTGTAGATAAATTGGCCTCGAATTTAAGATGTGTGGTGATCCTCCTGTCTCTGGCTCCCAAATACTGGGACTACAGGTGTGGGTCACCATGCCTACCCATTTGAACAATTTTTGTTTTGTTTTATTTTTTAAGACAGGGTCTCCCTGTAGTTCCAGCTAGCCTGAAACTCTCTATGTAGACCAGGCTGGCCTTGAACTCACAGAGATCCTCCTGCCTCCGCCTCCCAAGTGCTGGGATTAAAGGTATGTGCGACCACCCCATTTGAAGAATTTTAAGGTGCACAGTTCAAGCCGGGCATGGTGGCGAACACCTTTAATCCCAGCACTCAGGAGGCAGAGGCAGGTGGATCTTTGTGAGTTCAAGGCCAGCCTCGTCTACATCATGAGTTCCAGGCCAGCTGGGGTTACAGGGAGACCCTGTCTCAAAAAGACCAAAAAAATAAAAATAAAAAAAATAAAGTGTACACTTCAATGGCTTTAAGTGATAGTTCCAGTAATGTGTCACCACTTCATCACCACAAACAGGACCTCTGTACCCGCTAAACGGTAATACCCTATTCCTGTCCCTCCATCCTCTGATCGTATCTAATCTTTCTGTCTCTGACTTTACTATTCTAGAAATTTCATGTAAACAGATTCATTCCATGGCCCATTGTGTCTGGCTTCTTTACTGTATTTTCAGGGTTGATCCATGCAGCATGCATTAGACATTCTTTCCTTTGTATGGCTGAATTATATCATGTGTGGATATGCTTTTTTTTTTTTTTGACAGGGTCTCCCTGTATCCCCAGCTGTCCTGGAACTCACTATACAGACCAGGCTGGCCTTGAACTCACAGAGATCCGCCTGCCAATGCCTCCCAAGTGCTGGGACTACAGGTGTGCGCCACCAGGCTGGATATGCCATTTTTTAATCATTTTATTCAATGATGAATATTTGGATTGTTTTTGCCTTTTGGTTTTGAATAGTGCTACAGTGTGTATTATCTTAGAATTGATTCCTATTTTCAATTTTTTTTTAAATTGAGGGTTGATCTCAGGGCTTCATATATACCAGTCATATACTGTTCTACTGAGTTTTTCTATATACTGTTAAGAATCTGACCTCAGCCTTTTGTATGTGGATATACATTTCCCCCCAGCAGTATTTGTTTAAAAGGCTCTTTACTCCTTTGAGGAATCTTGGTGCCCTGTCAAAAATCATTTAACTATATTTGTGAAGGTTTTATTATTGACTCTCTGTTCTTTTCTATTGGTTTTTACATCTGTTTTTATGCCAACTCTGTGGTGTTTATGGCTCCCTCTCTCTCTAGTGGTAAATCGTGGGTTCATTTTTATGGAACCAGAAGCCCAGTTTTGTTCTTTTAAAGGTAGCAGTACAGAAAAGCACCACACAAGTTGCCCAGGAGCTGACAGAATTGGTCCAACAGCTTGTGGACATTGTCAAGAACCTTCAGAAGCAGATACTCAGCTCAGAATCTAGACGGGACAATAAGCTGGACATCCTGGGCATGGTAGGTTCAGCTGGGAAAAGAGGGGTGAAGGGGGCCAGGGAGAAGGACGGCTTCCAGATAGAGCAGTATGAAACACGGGATGCAGCAAGTCCCAAATTTTGGGGTCTCCCTGTAGCCCCAGCTGGCCTGGAGCTCACTGTGTAGTCCATGCTAGGCCTCAATCTCGCAGAGATCCACCTGCCTCTGCCTCCCAAGTGTTGGGATTAAAGGTTTGGTGAGGAGGTTATTCATAATTACAACAATTTAATTAAACTCTATAAACTTCAATTTCTTTGGTGAAATGGGATAAGCCTACTGTGTGACATTTTATGTGGATTAAAGGTCAGCAGTAGTCATAAAAGTAGTGCCGACTTCTGATTGGTGAAAAGAATGAAGAATGCATCATGCAGCGTTGGAAAGAAAAGTCGGGTGCCAAGTTAGTGAGCAGACAAGGGGCATGTCAGGAACTATCAGTGCCTGATGTTAAAAGAAACTAGGGAGCATGTGTTGAGACCTGGCATATACAACACGTTGACTCTTGAGAAGTGGCATTTTGAAAGTCAGGAGATAATTCTGATTTACATGGCCTATCTCATTGATAATCTGTATTATTTATTTTATAAATCCCCTAAAACATGAGTCTAAAATTTTAAAAATGGAAATCACCAAAGAGATCCATTTTTATTACTAAAAAGTGCTGGATGTGGTAGTACAAGTTTGTAATCTCAGCACTTGGAAGAAGGAGACAGAAGGACCAGGAGTTCAAGGTCATCCTTGATTAAATAGCAAGTTCAAGGACAGCCTGGACTACATGAGACCCTAGATAGATAAACACCCCCACCACCACTCCACCCCTGGAAACAAGCTGGATATTGTGGCACATGCCTGTAATGCTCTCATACTTGGGAGATAGAAGCAGGAAGATCAGGAGTTCAAGATCATTGTGTGCTACATAGTGAGTTTGAGAGCAACCTGGGCTACATGAGACCTTGTCAAAAAACAAAACAAAACAAAAGAAACAAAAAATAGAAAATATATGGCATCTTAAGTAGAACAAATTAAGTTCAGGAGAACAGGGTTGAGCACATGTTTAACATCCGTGAGGCCTGGGCTCAATCCCCAGTACACCAAAGCTGAAACTGAAATGTTATAACCTTATCGGACATAATCACTCTTTAATATTTTGCTGCAGTATATTATACCAGAAGACTATTTTCTTTTTTTCTTTTTTTTTTTTTTTTTTTTTTTTGTTTTTTTTTGTTTTTTTTTTTTTTAGACCCCAGCTGCCCTGGAACTCACTATATAGACCAGGCTGGCCTTGAACTCACAGAGATCCGCCTGCCTCTGCCTCCCAAGTGCTGGGACCATAGGCATGCACCACCACGCCTGACTGCCTAATTTTGTTTTAGAAAACGTGTTTGCAGAGGGATGACAGAATTTGAGTATATTTAATGAGTTCCATAGCGGACTTTCATTTATTTATTATTTTATGGTTTTATCAATAGGTTTCTTTCTCTGGGGCGGAACATTCCTTGATTTTGCCAAAGCTAGTGACTTCCAACACATCTGAGGAGAAAATAAGTGATATTCTCCATGATCTAGAAGAAATTCAGGAAAAATTGCAAGGGAATGTCACATGCAAAGATGGTCCTGCAGAACACATACAGGGTGAGCGATGTTATGGAGCGGAGGAGGACTAAATAAGGAAGTTGGGTGGAAATGGTCAAGCTCTGCCTAGCTTTGTTCTTTGGGGATGAGATCCCAGAGCCTGACTGCTTTTTTCTCTGGTATTGTAGGTGGAGTAGGAGTGGGCTGAGGTGTGTTGATGGCCGGGTACATTTTGGGATACGGACTCAAGGTGTTTTCTGAATCACAGGCCCTTTTTAAAAAAAAATTTTGTGTGTATGACTGTTTTGCCTGCATGTGCATAAGTGTACCTGTGTCATGCAGTGCCTGCAGAGGTCAGAAGAGGGAATCAGATTCCCTGAAAATGGAGTTACAGATGGTTGTTAGCTGCCATGTGATTTGTGTATGGAAGTCAGAGGATAGCTTCAGTCCTCCCCTTCTACCAAGTGGGTCACAGGGGTCATCAGGTTGTCAGGCTTGGAAGCAGGAGCCTTTATTCTCTGAGCCATCTTGCTGTCCCTTGATTTCATTTTTGAGATGAGGTCTCTTTATATTGCCCAGTCTGGTCTCGAACTCCTACATTCAATGATCCTTCTCCCTCAGCTTCCTGAGTATCTGGGTCTATTATCACATCTGCTACCACACCTGGTCACTTTTTCTTTAAATATGTTTTTATTGTGTGGGTGTGTGTATAGGTGCATACACTCACTCACACATGCATACATGACATATGTGTGCAGATCAGAAGACAATTTGGGGGAGTCAGTTCTTTCCTTCCACCATGTGGGGATTGAACATCAGGCTTGACTGCAAACACCTTTACCCACTGAGCCATTTCACTGACCCCCTCTCTATTTTTTTTTTAACTAGTAAATGTCTTTATTAACAAGGCCTGAAGTCATATGGGGTAGTATTTGCCTTTAATCCCATCATTTGGAGGTGGAGGTGGGAGGATCAGGAGTTCAAGGCCAGCCTGGGCTACATGAGACCCTGTCTCAAAAAAAAAAAAAAAAAAAAAGATGTGTATTAGTTACTTTTCTGTTGCTGTGATAGAAGCACTGACCCAGGCAATTTATAGAAGAAAGAGTTTATTTGAGCTTATGATTCCATGGGAATTACAGTCTGTCATGGCAGGGAGGCATGGTGGCTAGAGGTAGCTGGAACAGGAGCAGCAGAAGCTAAGCTCTCATAGGAAGCAAGAGAGCAACTAGAGATCCAGCAAGGCTTAAGAATTCTCTAAGCCCACCCCCAGTGATGTGCTTACTCCAGGATAGCCACACCTTCTAAAACCTCCATCTGGGGACAAAATGTCCCCAGTGCCACCATCTGGGGACAAAATGTCCAAATACTTGGAGCCTATGGGGGACATTTTTTTTTTCAAACCACCACAACATAAAACTGTATAATTAGTTCTTCTTACAAAGACTGATCTTTTTGGTCTTCTTGAGACAGGGTTTCCCTGATTCACTATGTAGACCAGGCTGGCCTTAAACTCACAGAGATCTGCCTGCCTCTGCCTCCCAAGTGCTGCAGTTAAAGGCATGCACTACCATAGCCAACTACAAAGATTGATCTTTATTATTTTAAATTATGTGCATGTGTGTGTCTGTGTGTAGGAATGCACACATGTATATGGGTGTCCTTGGAGGCCAGAGGCGTCAGATCTCCCTGAAGTTGGAGTTACAAGCAGTTGTGAGCCACCCAGCATGGGTGCTGGGAATCAAACAGGTCCTTTGCAAGAACAGTCTAAGCTCTTAACTACTGATGTACCTGGCCTATGTGTATTATCTGGCACAGCCTAGACACCCAGAAATATGTGAGGAGAACTGCAAGGTCTGTGTCTAAATCATGACAGTTAGATACCTTTAGTTTGCCTTTTTCAGATGGGAACCCCCCCCCCCTTTTTTTTTGATTCCTAGAAATGCCGTCTTCCTCTTCATGCCTGCTGCCTGATCAAAGGTGCTCTGTACCCAGGAGAGCATCTCAGTTTGCCCTATGTAAGTACAAGGTCCACTTAAAACTTACCTATTAGGATTGTGAATGTAGCTCTCAGTACATGAGTACTTGATTAGCATAACAAGGCCCTGTATATCCACAGCACCACATAAACCAGGTGTGATGGTACATGCCTGTAATCCTAGCACTTGGGAAGTAGAGACAGGAGGCTGAATATTTCAAGGTTATCCTTAGGTACATAGTGAGTTGGAGACCAGTCTGGGCTACATAAAACTGTCTCAAAACAAACAAACAAAAACCTAAACCACTCAACTGGACCACCTGCTATGCCCATCTCCTTTCTGTGGGGCCTTGGCTTCACCCCTTGAATTTGTTCCCCAGACCAGGTCCTAGACATGGAGAGCTGAATGCAAAGCAAAGAGGGTTGAGATTCCAAAATTCCAGGCTCAGCTAGATCCCTAAGCACTTAAATACCAAGCAGTCTCCAGACATCCATGCTGGAAGACATCATTTACAGCCGCCTGCTTGTTCCCCTAGTTGCATAGGTACTGCTGTTTTCCAGGCTGGCTGGTCCTTAAGAGCACATGGATCCTGGAGCTGTTTTTGACTCCCAGCAGCTCTGATAGCCTTATGAGCCTGGACAAGTTGCTTCACCTCTTAGGGTTTTGGTTCCCTTATCTATGAAATAGAGACAATAACAGGGTGGAATTGCCTTGGAGGTATAAAAAAGGGAGGGAGGACCGATGCCTGGGGTAGACCATGGTTGACATGGTATTCAAGTGTTAGCAGTTATACTTACTCAGTAGGAAACCGTAGGAGCTGAGGGTGTGGTTCAGTGGTAGAACACTTGTCTAGTATGTGCAAGGTCCTGGGTTTGATTCCCAGCACTAGACAGACAGGAAGAAGGAAGTAATGAAGAAAAGGGAAAAAGGAAGGATATACTATATACAAATGAATAAGACATGAACCTTCATTAGAAAGCTGGAGTTGTGGCTGGGCATGGTGGCACACACCTTTGATCCCAGCACTTGGGAGGCAGAGGCAGGCGGGTCTTTGTGAATTCAAGGCCAGCCTGGTCTACATAGTGAGTTCCAGGACAGCTGGGGCTACAGGGAAACCTGTCTCAAAAAGACCCCCCCCAAAAAAAAAAGCTGGAGTTGTAACTGTAGGGACACAAGCAGCTGTGATCATACTCATAAAGCACAGATATTGGGAAAAGCAAGAAGGGCTTTGTATTACATAGGATTCAGAGGTAGCTTCCTGATGGTAAGTAAAAAAAAGTCCAGGCAAGAACAGTGTATTAATACAACAACAACATCAAGATTATATACAGGAACTATACACTTACATACCAATTTTAATGTTTATATGGTAAAAAAAAAAAATCACCCGCAAAGATACAGTGCTGCTTTGCTATTGAGTGAATGACCTTCCAGTGTGGATGGTCAGAAACTGACTGTCCGTGTTTTTGTGGTGTTTATATTCTCCCCAGGGGCCATCAGTCCAACCTTTGACTTGAGGAGCCTCTCCTGTAGCCTGGAGGTGTCCAACAATTGCCGGACAGTAACCGTGTCTCGCTGTCTACAATCTTATAGCTGGAGTCCTGAGAGATTTTTAATCAGCCAGGTCTTATGTTCCCAAGCCCTCTCTTCTGGGAAGAAGTACTGGGAAGTGGACACTAGGTACTGCAACCACTGGGCTGTTGGGGTGGCTTCTTGGGGCATGAGCCGGCACCAGATGCTGGGAAGGACTGTGGACTCATGGTGTATAGAGTGGAAGGGGACTGGTCGGTTGTCTGCCTGGGCCATGATGAAGAAAACTGACCTTGACTCAGATTGCCCTGAGGTTGTAGGCATATGGCTGGACCTTGAGGCAAGAAAGCTTGCCTTCTACTCAGTTGGCAATCAGGATAGGCTTCTGTATGAGTGTGAAGTTTCTGCCTCTCCTCTGCATCCTGCCTTCTGGCTGTATGGCTTAAGTCCTGGAAATTCCCTGGAAATAAAGCAAGTAAAGACATAAAGGTTCCCCAGGGGTTAGAGCAATGGCTTCCTGGTCTGTCTGATAAGTGGCAGTTTAGGAATTCTACTTATAGCCAGGTGCGGTGGTGCATGCCTTTAATCCTAGCACTCTGAAGGCAGAAGTAGGTGGATCTCTGTGAGTTAGAGGCCAGCCTACATAGTGAATTCCAGGCCAGCCAGGGCTACATAGTGAGACCCTGTCTCAAAAACAAAGCAAAACAACAACAACAAAAACAAAACAAAACAAAACAAAAAAACAGCTGGATGTGGAAGCACATACCTTTAATCCCAGAACTGGGGAGGAAGAGGCAGGTGGTATATGACTAACTAAGCAGGGTTGAGGTCTTTGAACCTTGCACATTTCAGAGAAAGGGCTGGCCTCTGACTGGCACCTGGGAGATGACCTCTAAGGCATTGGAATAGCCTGCCTAATAAGAGTGACTTTGTTTACCTGGGGCTTTGGACCATTCACCAGGGAAGGAGGCTCAGCCAGCCTTGTGGGCAGTGAGACATGCCTACATGACTGATCCCCCCAACTAAAAGCCCTAGATACCAAAGCTTGGGTGAGCATCCCCAGTTGGCAGTACACCATCCATGTCCCTACATATCACTGTTGGAATGGGGAGCACTGTCCTCGAGACTAGTGGCAGAGGGTAATTGGGAGCCTTTGTGGAGTCTACCTTGTGTGTCTTTTTCTACTGATGATTTTATTTTGTGGCCTTTCATTGTAATAAACTGAAATGTGTATTACAGCTCTGCTGAGTTTAATGAGTCCTTGTAGTAATCTTTTTATCAGATGGACCCACAAACAGAAGGGATGTAGTGTAGGACCCCCCCAGACTGGGGTACCCAACATCCATGGGAGGCTGCACCCCAATAACTCAGTCCTCAGACCAGGAGATTCAACAAGCAAGAGGATTAATTTTTTGCGCAGACGAGGCTCCTGCCTCACTTAGAGATAGAGAACAGCAGCCCCGAGCTCAGCTTACAGGCGATTTTTAAAGGCAGAAACCACAATGCACAACCGGCAGCAGTGGGAGGGGGCCGGCAGCAACCAGCAATAAGGGGCTGGCGGCAACCGGCAGTAGTGGGAGGAGAAGTCTCTGGTGATGTCCGGAGCATGGAAAAGTCAGATTTTTTTCAGTAGTTAGAATTATTTTACTTCTTACTTTCTTGTTCTGAATACTCTTTAGTCTGGGGGATTTGGTTTAAATATACTTTAACCTGGGGGGCTTTAGTTTGATTCCATCAGTAGATCACAAAACAATATTTATAATGATAGTTCCATGAATTTAGTGGTTTAAAAAAATACACAGGCTGAGAGACAGCATGGTGCTTTTAATCCCAGTACTTTGGAGGCAGAGGCTGGCAGACTTCTATGAGTTCAAGGCCAACCTAGTCTACATAGTGAGTGCTACATAGTTCAGGCAAGCCAGTGCTACATAGTCTCAAAAAAAGGAGGGGGGGAAGCTGGAAAGATGGCTCAGTGATTAAGAGCACTGACTATTCTTGCAGAAGACCTGGGTTCGATTCCCAGCACCCACATGGTGGCTAACAACCTTCTGTAACTCCAGTTCCAGGGGATTCGACACCCTTTTCTGACCTCCTTCGGCATTGCACAACATGGGTGCATTTACACATAAGCAGGCAATACCCTCATACACATAAAAAATAAATAAATACCTGCAGAGCGTGGTGGCACACACCTTTAATCCCAGCACTTGAGAGGCTGAGGCAGGCGGATCTCTGTGAGTTCAAGGCCAGCCTGGTCTACATAGCGAGTTCCAGGTCAGCTGGGGCTACAGGGAGACCCTGTCTCAAAAGACCAAAAATAAATAAATAAATACATAAATACATACATTCATACATACATACATACATTAATTAATTTATTTATTTATTAAATAAATAAAAGAAGCCGAAATAATATTTTAAAAATTTACATAGATTGGGGATTTAGTTCAGAGGTAGAATGCTTACCTTGCATGCACAAAGCCCTAGGTTCAGTCCTCAGCACTACATACACACACACACCCAGTTTATTTATCCCATAATTTCTGTAGGTCAGGAGTCAGGATACAGCTTAGCTGAGACTTCTGTAATCGGCATGTCAGCTGGGGCCACAGCATCATCAGAGGCTCAACTGGGGAAGGATCTGCTCCCAGGCTCACATAATTGTCACCATTTCAGTTCCTTGTGGGTCATTGGACAGAGAACCTCATTAGTTTTTCTCTCTGTTTCTCTATCTCTTCCCTTATTATTTTTTTTTAATATTAGTATGAGTATATTTCCTGCATGTATGTGAGTGCACCCTGTCAGTGTCATGCAATGCCGAGAAGGTCAGAAGAGGGCATCGGATTCCTCCAGAACTGGAGTTAAGGATGGTTCATACCCACCATATGGGTGCTGGGAATGGAACCTGGGTCCTCTGCAAGAGCAGCCAGTGCTCTTAATGGGTGCCGAACCATCTCTCCAGGCCCCCTCTCTTTCCTTTTTATTTGAGACAAAGTCTTACATTGTAGCCTAGAATTGTGTGAAACTTACTATGTAGCTGAGGATGGCCTCAAACTTGTAGCAGTCTTCCTGCCTCAGCCTCCTAAGTGCTAGGATTAGAGCCATAAACCACCACACTTGGCTAAAAACATATTTCCTGCTGGCTGTTGGCTTGAGACCACCTCAATTCTTTATCTTATAAGCTTTTATTTTTCTAGTTCTGTGAATTGGACCTAGGGCCTCAGGCCTGTTAGATAAGCACTGTAACACTGGCTATATTCTCAGCCCTCAGTTCCCATCCCATGGGCTTTTACAACAGTTGCTTTCTCAGACCCAACAATGTAAAGAAAGTCTCCAAAGAAAATCTCTTTTATGTCTAGCAAGCTAAACATGAAATCCCAAGAAAAATCAACCAAAAAGCAAAATAAAAATTTTAAAAGGTAGGGGCTGGAGAGATGGCTCAGTGGTTAAGAACACTGGTTGTTCTTGCAGAAGACCTGGGTTTGAATCCCAGCACCCACATGGCAGCTAACAACTGTCTGTAACTCCAGTCCCAGGGGATCCAACAGCCTCTTCTGACCTCCATAGGCATTGCATGTCACAGGTGCACTGACCTACATGCAGGCAATACATGCATACACTAAAAATAAAACACAAGCCGGACGTGGTAGCACACGCTTGTAGTCCCAGCACTCCGGAGGCAGAGGCAGGCGGACCTCTGTGAGTTCAAGGCCAGCCTGGTCTACATAGTGAGTTCCAGGACAACTGGGGCTTACAG